GCCCGGGGAAGCGCGGCGCCCCGCTCGCCCTCGCCGAGCCGGCCGTGCGCCCCGGGCGCGCCGCGCACCTTGTAGACGTCGCCGTAGGTGCCGGAGCCGATGCGCTGCACCAGCTCGTAGCGCAGCCGCGGGTCCTGCAGGGAGACGTCCCGCAGGGCGCTCATGGTGCCTCCGCCGCCGCCGCGGACGAGCGACGCAGAGCCGGGCGGACGGGCGGGGAGTGCGCCGCCCCTGGGGCGGAGAGGAGCGCCGGCCGCTGGGAAGGCGGCGGCGGCGGCGGCGGCAGGAAGGAGGCGGCGGCGAGGCGCTAAGCGCCGCCTGCCAGCTTCCCTCGCCTCGCCTCGCCTCGCCTCGGCGCGAGGGAGGAGCTGCGCGCCAGGGCAGGGGCAGGCCTCTGGGCGCGTGCAGAGTGCCCCGCCCTGGGGTGGCGCCACGCTAAGCGTCAAGGCCCGAGCAGGCCTCTGGGCATGTGCAGAGGGGCGCAGCTGCGAAGTGGCACCGAGCAGCCGCTGCCGAAGAGTAGCCATGTTGGAACGCCCAAGTTTGTCTGCTACTCCAAGTCCGGGGTGGGACGGGGGCGACTCAGGGGCAAATGCCTAGAGGCAGGGCGGCCTCTGGGCATGTGCAGAGTGGGCAGCCCGGTGGGAACATCTACCACAGCAAGAATGATGCAGGGAAGTTTTCCTCCTGGCTGAGACTGCCAAAGGGCAGACAGGCATGCAAGCCAAAACAGAGGGCAAGTAAAAACCACGGATCATGGGTAGATGGGGAGGGGGGCGGGGAGCTCAAAGGAAGCCGGTGGCAGCGCAGAGGAAATGGGGCACGGCGGTTTCTCATAATAGATCAGAGGACAACCAGCCCTGAGAAAACACACATTTTCTGAAAGGCACTAAGCACTAGAGTGCTTTTACTCTTCCTTTGACTTTCCCCAGAATTATGGCCCACCTACCCATTTTGACTGCACAGAACCCTCATGAGGACTAGAAACAGCCATCCCTGCCAAGCACAGCAAACTTGAGCAGGGCCTCTTCCTGGGCCCTGTCTGCTCACGCAGTATCAGCACAACTCCGAGCTGCATCTGAAACGCTGACCCAGCAGCACAGTAACGGGTGACCAAGCACGGATGCACCACTGCCTCTCTCCACCAGATGCCAGCACTGGAGCTCAGCAAAGGCATCATCACATCCCCAAAACACTTTGTGCGCGCTCTCCGTACCGGTTGTCGCTCCGTGCACCATCCCTGTGGACGGGAAACGTGGGGTGCAGCGGAGCATCCACAAAAGGCACCTTGGCCCGACCCAGGCAGCTCAGGACAAGTCGCGCCAAATTCGGCGCCTCAGGGCAGGACGGAGGAACCTGTGCTGGGAACCACTTTTGGAAAAGATTTTGGGACTTCAGGAAGGCTGCACTTGGCCCCACACACGAGGGTCTTTTCCACATGGTCCTGCTCATGGGAACCTCACAGAAAACGGCTTAGCCTCTGCTTCGACCCACAGCATTTCTTCCAACCTGCTTTAAAACAAACATTTCCCTGGAAGGTTTGTTTGTCCTGCACACTTGAGCCTCAGGCTGCAGTCCTGGGTGAATTTAGCCAGAGCAGAGGCCCAGCGCTCCCAGCTGGTGCTTTTTCTATTTAAACACGGACAAAGTTTACTCTGCATGCCCAGATGTAAGCAATCCCTTTATGCCGAAGCTTTAAAGACAAACCAGAACAACTCGAGGAGATACCCATCATGGAATGCTTTTTAGCTGTTCATAATTTTTCTACCTGAAATACTTGCATTTTGAAAGGTCTGTAGAAACGTTGGCCCTAAGATTTTATTACAGGAACTGCTGTAAACTACTCAGAGAGCTCCGGCTAGCAGAAACAATAAAAAAATAAAATAGGTTTCCTCAGATATGAGTCCAATTGTTTAAGGGAAGGTAAATTTGCATTACGCTATTTGTAATGGAACTTGCACTGTAAAGATGCCTCCTGGTTTTTTTGCAGGGAATCGTCCAACATCTCGGATCCTCTGACCTGGTTTGGGGGTTTCCAGTCTAGCCCTTGACGCTGATCTAGGACAACAGATGTGGCCAAATTGTCAGCCAGGGAAAAGAAAATCAAGGGACGCTGTCCATTTGCATCAGGAAGATGACGACAGAAATAGCCGAGTGAGATTCCTGAAACACAGGAAATATTCCACCAAATTTTGATCTTAACTGTGTACTCCCTTAGGCGAAAACCCCATGGAGAAGAACCAATTGAGGGAAAGGAGGGCCTTTTTGTCCACTGGATCACTGAAGCAGCAACACGAAAAGGAAAACTCTTTTGCCAAGCCGTGTACGGCCTTGTCCAGAACAATTATAACCACATCCATAATCAGAGCTGACAAATCAACTTTCCTACCCACAATCCAATCTGCCCATCTCGAAAAATGCATTCCCGGTGCCCTCGGCAAAGCTCCCAGATCTGTCAGCCTCCAAAAGACACAATAGCAGGATCTCCCTTGGAAAACCGACAACCAGAAGAAGCCGATTCTTCATTTTTAGAAAAAGCCTTGCAAAATTTATTCATCCAACCCTCTTTCAGAAGTTAAAAAAATCCATGTAACGTGATGGGTACAAACGCTGACCTGGTTTCCTGTCATTTTGGGGGTGAGAAATCAAAAGCCAAAGACCCCCCCCACACCAAATCCCTCTTTCTGTTTTTCCTTTTTCACCCGTCCACCTCTGCCCCCCACCTCCCTTCTCTTCTGACACCTTGAAACCCCAAGTCCCATGGCTTTGGCGGGCCATGAGCTCGCACCTGAGATCTTGCTTCCAGAAAGGGGCTGCTGCATCAGCAGCACAGGACCCCCGGGGAGCGCTGCCCCCCGCCCTGTGTCCAAGCGGGGGATTCTTGTCCTGCTTTTTCGGGAGAGGGGCTGGCGCAGGCCGAAGCCCAGGACGTCCGGCCAGCCCCGGCCCGGCCCAGCACAGCTGGGAGGTCTCACTGCCACAAGCCGCCCTCCCGGATTCCTGGAGTGCCGCCAGCACCGGCACCGGCACCGGGGTGCTCAGAGGGACTTGCGGGGCCGCTTGAGGAAGGACAGGGAATAGTCTCGGGGCGCGGAGCCCTTCTGCTTCTTGAGCTGCACCTGGGACTGGGCCGTGAGCTGCAGCTTGATGGCGCTCGAGTTGATCTTGGCGGCCACCAGCAGCTCCTTCATGCCTTTCATCTTCTCGCTCTGGAAGGTGAGGACGGGCCCCTCCGGAGGCGGGCTGGGGCCACTGCCAGGGCCCTCCTCCTTCTCTAGAGGAGGCCTGTCCACCCGCTGGCCAGAGCTGGGCCGCCGGCGCTCGGTCACCTTTTTGGGCAGGGGCGGCTCCTCTGGCTTGGACTCCCGGCGGGGCCCCCGGCGGCGCCCCTCCCGCGGGTCTTCGCTGCCCTGGTCGTCGTCCTCGTTGGCGTCCACCTCCCGGCTCACCAGCGTCACCTTCTGCCGCACCTGCGGGGGGGGGGGGAGAGGACGCTCAGACTGGGCCCAGCCCCCACTTCAGCTCAGAGCTTTAGACCTGTGATGGAGGAGGAAGAGGAGCGGCGGGGCGGGGGCTCCCCCCAATCGCTCCACCACGAGGGGAAGCCTCACCGTGCCGTCGAAGCGGCTCAGCGACTGGACGAGGAACGTGGCCCAGCCCACGTGCAGGACCGGCGTGGGGCTCCCTTCTTCCCACTTGCAGATCCCGTCGTAGAAGCGCAGCAGGTGGCCGAAGCACTCCGGGTCCTGCAGGGCCGAGCCTCCGGCTTGGGACGGGGAAGCCTGGGGGAGAGAGGGAGGCTGTGCAGACGCCCCGGGGAGCTCTGCCGGGCCGCGTCTCGTCCCGGAGGCCGGAGCCCCACGCGGGCTGGCGCGAGGCGTGGATGGAGAAGTTCCACGCGGGGCATGCGCTAGCCACGAGAGAGAGGCACCTGGCGCAGCGGCGACTAACCCACCCCGTCCGTGACGGCGGGAGGGCACGGCCACCGTCCTCCCCCGGCCTTGCGGCTCCGTACCTCGCCTCGCTCGCCGGCGCCCTTCTCCTCTGCCGAGTCGGCCAAGCTGGCCACCTCTTTGAGCAAATTGGGGATCACGTCGTTGGCCACGTCAAAGAACTCCTTGTAGATCTCCTCGTCCTCTCGGCAGTAGTTGTAGCTATTGACGTAGTGAGAACAGGCAAGACTGAAACGGGTTTCCAAGGCCGGGTGAAAGCCCAAGCACTTTAGACCGACCAGGTTTGTTCTGTACACTTGCCTGCAAGCCTCTCTTTCTAGACCGCAGCTGGCTTTTACTAATCTGGTTCTACACTGCAGTTTTCCACCTTAAAAAATTCAGGCCGCAACAGATGCGTGCCCAGTCCCCTCCCAGCAGAACCTTGGCAAGGGCATTCGTTGGTGGCAGTGAAAAACAGCTTGCCACTGGAATCTGGTCGAGGGCAGCAAAAGACCCCCAGCGCTGCTCAGCTCCGACACGCAAGGACGCTTCCGCTACCACCCTTTTGCCAGGTCAGGGAAGGGAACTCACTCCTGGATCACCGTGGCCGAGTCCGCCCAGGCCTCCAGCGCTTCCTTGACGTTTTTGTTACGGCAGTGGTAGCCGGCCAGGTACATGTACGGGTAGATGTGCTCGTTTCGGTAATACTGCTTAGCTGAGTTGATAGCCTACGGGGAAAGCAGGGTTAGGGGAGCTAAGAAGCCACTGGGGGTGGGGGGGGGGATCCCATTCAGGCCGGGCACGAGGGGGAGGCAGACGAGGATGCTGAAGCGTGCCGATTCGGGAAGACACAACCAGGTTGTTTTGGGGAAGCTGCAGGTCATTTCGGAGGCCCACGTGTTCCCACGGGGTTGCAAAGTCCTTGCTCCGGATCGGCTCCACCGAGCCCCGAGGGGTCATTCTGCAGCCTCTCGTGAAAGGGTGATTTTTCAAGGGGGCTGCAGAGGGGAGGGTTAAACCTCCTCTTCTCACAGGGTGCGACGCTTCCCTGCCACCCTCCAAAGTCTTCCCCTACGTGGGAATTAAATTCTGCGGGGGCAGGGGGGCATGTCCATGGGGCCGGAAGGAAAATGCAATGTTTACCCCAATCAGGGCTTTTGCTTCATTCCCCCCCCCCCCCAATAAAACCACCCTCACATCCCAAGAAACGGAAAAAATTACCTGGTTGTAGATGAAGAGGGGGTCGGGGCGGCCAGGGGTGGGCTCCAGCTCCTCGAGGTCAGCAAGGTTGCCCAATGCCATGGGGTACCTACAGAGGACACCACAGGTTTAAAATGAGTTGCAACGGGGGCAGTAGACCCTGGGGAAGTGAGAATAAGGCCATATGATGCCCTGTGGAAGGAAGATGGAGATGGAACAGGCAAAGCCAGACTCAGCGGCCTGTCTCTTTCCTCTGCCCTCCCCTTGCCTTTTTCCTTGTATGCTGTGAACGACAGAAGCAGTGCTTCGATGGCTTTCTTCTTTTTCTGCCGCCAGCTGCAGGGAGGGGGGGGCATGTGGGAATGTGGCTGTACAGCAGCAAAAGCAGGGAGAAGTGACGGGGCACGAAGGCTCACCCCGATTGGGGTGCACAGCAGCTGTAGGCACATGCCCAAGAATCCTTCCATCACCCCAGCTGACCCCCAGCCAGAGCAGCTCTCAGGGCCAGAAAGGAGCACAGCCGTGGGGCAGAGCATCGGTTTGATCGCCAGCACCTCCAGCTCGGGCTGGAAAACCCCTCCCCGAAACAGTGGTGTGCAGCTGCCGGCCTGGGTCGGTGATAAGAGGGCCTGATTCCGTCTGAGGCGGAACTCCCAGTGTTTCCAGGTTGGGAATCCCTGCCTGAGACTAGCAGAGCAAAAGCGGCCTTGCTGTAGAGACTCACCTCTCCAGGTGCCCCAAATCATACAGAATCCACAAAAGCCTCTGCAAAGGAAGGGGAGAGAGGTGAGCAAGGAGGATATGGGCAACACGGCAGAGCTGGGCGTGCAGATCCAGGCCAAGCAAGCGGGGGCACACTGGGGGCAGGACCCCCCCCGGATGGAGGAGGCACCCCCGCCCCAGAGGCAGGGGGCCTTGAGGCGGTGGGGCCTGCGCAAGGAAGGGGTGGCGCCTGCGAGGCCCGGCCACGACGGCTCACCTGCTGCAGCTGCAGCAGCTCCAGGCTGTCCGAGTGCAGGTCTATCGAGGGGTTGATCGCACACACCATAAACGCGACCTCCATCTGGCGGGTGCAGCCCAGGTAGGAGCCCTTCAGGTACAGCCAGCTCTGTAAGGAATTTCACAGCAAGAACTCCGCTGGGGTGCGCACCAGAAGAGGGCTTTTTCACGCACAGCCGAAGGCCCGAAGCTTCCCTAGACCGGGCCAGAATATTTATCTTTGTAATCCAAATAAGACTCCTGTCTTTTAACTTCCTGAGATTCTCCAGGATCTTGGGGGAAGGTCGGTCTTTCCCGTCACCTGAGCCCCACTTAATCAGTGAACAACTCAGGGAATTGGACTTCTCGGCCCTGGACCACCACATGGAATGGGGCAGGGCAGAGACCAACAGCATCGGCCTTGAAAGGATGCCAGCACTGTTATCTTCGTATTGGGGGGGGGGGACTGGCTGGGAGAACACCGATTTAATCTGAACATGTTGAGGGCAGACGCAAGATTTGCAACACCGCGATCAATTCCTGCAGAAACCAGAGCAGAGTCCTGAATTGTATGAATTAACCAAACAGGTAAGAGGTGTACAACTTCAGGCCCACGAAGGCAGGGTTTCTGTGCGGTTTTATCCCTGTTCTAAAAAACTGACATGCTTCTCCGAGGACTGTGCTGCTCACGCGGAGAACCTGAAGCTACAAAGCCAGACATAAAGGACCAAGCGCCTGATGCCAAAAGGAGACGGCAACGTGAAAACCATCGTATGCCCCAGAATCGCTTTCGGCTGCACAACGAAGGCACACAGATGTTCCTGAAATAAACGGTCCAAGGTAGCTTTTCCCAATCCAGTGCCTCTGAACGTGCTGGACTACAACCTCTATCATCCACAGCCACCAAGGAAGGGCAGTGTCGAGCTGCCGTGTGCAAATACGGAAGGGCAAGAAGCGAAATGTTTATCCAAATTCGCCCTGAGAATTCAACCAAGGCAAGACAGGTTCTCAAAGAAAATTTACCCGCTCCGCCACGCCGGAGCCGATGGTCTGCCCACGCCGGTCCTCATTCCCCTTGCCGTGCCACGTCACCTCTGCTGTCTGCTCGCCGTCCTTGCCGAACACGACCCACGCGTGGTCTTCAGAGAGCGCCAGGTGCACGTCCAGCAACCCCAGCGCCTGGCAGGCGCCCACGACGGCGAAGGCCACGCCGGAGCTGTCCAGCTTGGTGCCTGGGGAGGGGAGACACTGAGCAGGTCACAAGCCCGAGCGGGGAAGAGCCCCCGCCTCCCCCAGTCTGCAACGGGTGTGCCAAACCCAGCCCTCGCGGCCACTTCGCTTCCCGAAGCCCCACCTCTCCAGCCTTGACACAACACAGAATCATTTTTTCCTTCCACCCTGAAAACAACACTGAAGGGGGCAAGCCATCGCAGGAGCCAGAGAAATGAAAATATAAATTTACTTGAGGCAGTAGTAAAACATGCGCATGAAAGCTGACTTAAAACACGCACGCGGCAGTAATTGATTAAAATTAGCCAACCCAACAGGCCAGGTTATATGCAAAAGGCTTGCCTGAATAAAAATGTTTTTCTGTGCTGGTGGAGGCATAGCAGGGAGGGTAGAACCAGGCCTTCCTTAAGCTTAGTTTCATGGCCTGGGAGCCAACACAGAGAAGGCCCTCACAACCCTATACAACTTTGAGGGTGGCTGCCCAGGAAGAGGGTTTGAAACCTGTGTGTATCCTGACAGGCTCAACGAAGTAGGAAAAAGAACTTGATAAAATATATGGCAAGAAGCCTCTCGGCCCGGGAAGACGATCTGATGTGTCGCCTGCAGCTGGGAGACCCACAAAGCCTCCCCTGGCCCATTCGGGGGACTTCAGCAGCCACAGAAAGGGGAGTGAATGCTTTCTTTTGCTCGCTTATGCCCTGCATTCACAGTTCCCCACTGCATTCAGCACGCCACACATCACCTTCAACGTGAGCTTTTGTTTCCTCCTAAGCATCGTCCAATCGAAAGCGAGGTGCCTGGGATGGACTAGGCCCTTGGGGTCAGAACAGGGGCTAACTAATCCAGGAGCGCCAGCTGTGCATTGGCACCCCTGCCCCACAGCCAAGCCTAAGTTTAGGACAGAGTCTAGGGTCACACCCAAAGCGTGAGCTGGAGACTTTAACACGCTACACGTCCGTCTCTTGCGAGCTAAGGTGGAGAGCACAACACCTTCAAGGTCCCACCTGTGATGAAGCTGAAGAGAGACTGGATGTGGGCCCGATCCTTGAAGTACGAGCGGCTCAAGCTATTCCAGATGACGTCCGAGACTTTCTTGACCAGCTCCCGGGAGGAGTAGCCGTCCGGCCGGGGGTACAGCGAGAGATCCACGGCCCCACGAATCTGAGCGGTGAAGCGGGCATGCAGCGCCCCGATGATGCTCAGGTCGGCCACCGGGAAGTACGTCAGGCTGTCAGGACCCTGTGCTGGCTCGAAACTGATGCCGGGAACGTTGGTGGGCAGCACGCGGTTGACGGCCAGGAAGTGCTCCACAAAGCCGAGCACCAGCGAGAGCAACACCAGGTCCGGCTGCTCCCGCTGCAGCTCCAGTTCGAAGAGGTGCACCACGTCCGAGACCGAGCGCAGCGGGAAGAGGGCCTTCTGGGTGCTTTTCAGCCCCATGGCCGAGCACAGCGCTGGGAGGAGGAGAAACAGGGGAGGTCGGAAGAAGACAACATTAGGCGCACCCCCCATCAAATCCCCATATATTTTTATTTATCCATGGGTTATATTTATAGCACCCCATAGCCCTGAGGGTTCAGACAGGAGAGACTGGAGGCATGTTTCCCATGGGGTCATGAGGGGCCGGGCACGACTTTGGGACTGAACAACAAACAAGCCCTGAGTTACAATAAGACAAACTGCATTAAGAAAACAGAAAAAACTGAGAAAAACCTGTTGTAAACCATCCCGAGACGTCTGTGAAGGGACGGTATAAAAAAGTTTTAAATAAATAAATAAACCAGTGAGCTCCTGCCATAATTATCCCGCCCCCACCAAAGGGGCTTTTGAACATTCGAAAATCGCTAATTCCAAGTGCATTTTAAATGCACCCGAGACACAAAACAATCAAGATTATTTGTTTAGGAAGTGCAGCATTACCTTGCCAAAAACCCTCAACGCTGGTCTACCCTTGTTTAATGCAATCCAAAACCTGGTTGAAGGAGCAATCTTGCAACCTCTAGACAGTGTTCCAGAACCAAAATCGGGGGCAGCCCACCAGACTTAACGGGGACTATCAGGAATGCATGTTCCCTCTCCCAGCAGGGCGGGGAAACTGCGGGAACCCCGGGAGGTTGCTGCTGCCAGTCCGTGTGGACAATCCTGGGGTGGATGCACCCGGGACCAGACCCCCTCCCGCGCGACCCCCCCATTCCGTACCCCTCCAGCCCAGGAACTGCGGGAACCCGCGCAGCAGGGAGGCCCCGCTGGGCAGAGGGCGCAGGGTCGAGCCCCCGCGCAAGCCCCGAACCGAACCAGCCAGGCTCCGGGGGAGGGCGCGCCAGGCGAGCACCGCCGCCGCGCGTCTGCCGGCCCGAGCAGCGCGGCTGGGGCGGGTGGGGGGCGAGGCCGCCCCTCCGGCTTGCAAAGCCCCGA